CCCTTGGGGCATGCTGAGACAGTGATTGAGATTGGGCATGGTGGTGTGCACCTGTAGTCCCAGCACTTGGGAGGCTGAAAACAGGAGGATCACTACAAGTCCAGTCTGTGTAGTAACATCCTGTAGACCCTGTACTAAAATACTAAATAAATAAATAAATGGAAGAAAAGGCACATTTACTAGTATTGCTCACATAATACTAATATTAGGGCAAATTTTGTAGGGATCATTCTTAAATCCAGACATTATTCAATCAATCAATATGTAAATCAAATTACATATATATAGATAGATAGATAGATAGATAGATAGATAGCCAGAGGTCTTAGAACTGAGCAAAACATCTCCAACCTCCCTTACCACATGGGCTTATGTAATGAAATTTGGCCCAACAGATATGAACAGAATAATATATGACTTCCAGACTTTTCCTTAAATCTGTCATCCCTGACTTTGGACATTTTCTTTCCCATTCCTGCAAACTGCAATATAAACCTGGAAGGATCCCATTTCAATCATAGAGGTGAAAAATCACTCAGGGAGATTTTAAGAAATGTAAGGAGTAAAACCTGGACCTCTGCTTGCATGACCAGGGTCCCCACAATAGCCCTGGACCTCTTTCCTCAGACTTAGGAGATAGAGTAAAACTTCTTTCTTCTGAATTCACTGTATTTTGGAGTCTCCTTGTTAAAGCAGCTTAGCTTGTACCATTAGTAACAATACAAAAATTTCATTTTCTCAGTGGCCAAGAATAATCAGGCTGGGACATGTTGGTTAGAAAAACACAAGACACAATTCCACCCACACTGGAATCAAGTTACTTTTCAGGCATTAAATCGAAACCAAGAGAAACCAGCAAATGTACAGTGAGTATGCCATGATCTTCATGACCATAGTAACCACTAGTACTCAAAACCAACGCCTAAATCTCCCACACTTCCCTTCTCTTTAGAAATGGTGTTACAGGGCTGGTGAGATGGCTCAGTGGTCTAAAGCACCTACTTAGAACAAGCTAAGCTCAAGCAAAGCACAGGAACCTCGGTTCAATCCCCCAGCACCACATGCCGGCCCGCCCACCCCCTGGTGGGCTGAGCAGGCCACACACTAAATAAATAAATAAATAAATAAATAAATAAATAAATATGGTGTTACAACTGAAAACAATAGGTCAAAGTTAGATAGGATGGTGCTTTTCCTTGGACAACCAGTGCCACCAAAGATTGCCTCTGTGACTTTTCTTATCCCAAGGACTGAATCAGAGACTGTTGCTTGTCTTCAAGAACATTTTCACCTGTTCTTGTGAAAAAGAAAAAATATTTCCCTAGCTTGTCAGGCTTGTGTGAAGACCTGGGTTTGTTCTGAAATATGCTATTTTTTTTTTTAATAGTAAAACAGTATTTTTGTTTTAGGACATGATGGTGGTTATGAGAAATTGGATATTTTTCATATGACTAAGGCAAGATGAACTTTTGTCTCTTCTTCCTTTTTCTAGAAACTGGACTTGGCTATTGTTAAGTAATGTCTTTCTTCTATACTGAATTCTCAAATCTCCCCTTGTCTTCCTCCATGGAGCTCTTTAAAGGGCACTTATATAACCTTTTCTAACAGGGACCTTTTGAGAAGTCTTTCTCATCTGCCAATTAACCTCAACTTTAGTCCTTTGGGTCTCCCAACTACATTCTGTAATATTCCATGTATCCAGGTATTCCAACTGTTTAAGAAGGACAATCAGCCTCAGGCATGGTAGCATATACTGGTAATCCCAGCCCTCTGGGAGACTGAGGCAGGAACACCACAACCAAAAGCCCAGTCTGGTCAACTTAGAGACTTAGCTAGACTGTCTCAAAAATAAAAATATTTAAAAAGGACTGAATGGGGGTTGGGGAGATAGCGCAGTAGAATAAGCACTTGCCTGGCAAGTTCAAGGGCCTGAGTTCAATCCCTGGTTCTACCATAAATAAATAAATAAATTAATTAATTAATTAATTGAAAAGG